ATGTGAAATACCTGGTAGGCAAGTTATTAACTTTATGAGAAAACCTTCTATTCAGGTACGGAGCCACTATTAAGGTTACAGCAAACACTTTTATTCAAGTACAATTTCTTGTCAAAATGGCTGTAAAAAAGATCAGTTGCAGGATGTGAGAGCTCACGTTTACAGAAGAAAGATCAAGTGTACATTTGTAAAGAATAAATGAATAAGACCTATTTAGGCTTTAGGGAAACTTGACCAGAACAGAGCTGTTGTTTAGTTAGTATATCCCCGCCAGTGTCAAAGCCTTCCAGTAATCAGTGTATTCATATATTATCTTTTAGTGTTAAAAATCGTTTTGCTCTTTTCTTTTGACATATGCCAATTAAAAAAAAAAAAAAAGGATTGTGCAAAGGTCCTGAATTAACCCTTGGAAACAGCCATTTATTTAAAAAAAAGTCGAAGTGTCCATGGAAATACATTGTGCAAGGCTCTTAATTTCTTTAAGCAGTCTTCAGGAATAGTTCTCCTGGCTTCTTGAAAGAAAGTCAAAGCTCTTCTTTGGATTTTGGCTGCCTTTTATCTGTTCTCTGTTTAAATATTTTGGTCACATTATTGATAAATTCACGTAGCAAAAGTTATTTATATTTAATTCACTGCTTCATTTTGTTTTTTAAATTTACATTAATGACTGTTTTACTACCAGTTTCAATACTACTAACGTTATTGTTTATATTACTCGTTATTAAAAAGCTGTAGTGCTCAGGTGAGGACACACGATGGCGTAAGAGGGCGCGTCAAAGTATTTTTTAAAGCGTAGAAGAAGCGGCATCGGAGGCGTTTTGTCCGCTGACAGTCCGCCATGCTCAGCCTTCTGCAGCACTGTGGTCGCAACCTACTGACAGCTAGGACCCTCCAGACCGTGAGCAGCAGTTATTATTCAGCGCAGATGGGCAAACGCGTGGCTGTGGTGCTGGCGGGCTGCGGCGTCTATGACGGCAGCGAGATCCACGAGGCCTCCGCTGTTTTGGTCCATCTGAGCAGAGGGGGTGCGACTGTAAGTGTGACGCGCTGATTTTATCTGCCGCTACCCCTGGAGTGAACACTACATCAGAAATGGTCATTAGCTTCCAGTTTGTCCGCTTACACTGCTCCGTGCTGAGCAGTTTCTACGATTTTTGCACTTTTTATTTGCAGTCCGACCCGTGAGCGTCCTTTGACCTCTACAACCTGTTAACCAGACTGCGCACAGTGACACGAACAGCCTCGCAGAATGTTTTGTGCAAACTGCTGAATAATAAACGACTGAAATGTACCGAAGTATTTAAAGTTCCTTAACCTCAACAGTTATCTGTCCCCCCAGAAAAAAACACCCAACTCTTAGTAAAGCTCATCTGGTCCGCCATGTTTATTTATTTATTTTTACCAGTAAGTATGGTGTGCTATTATTTGTGTAGTAAATGTTTCAAGCTGTCGTGGGTCTTTTAGAGTAATTGCTGAGGGAAAATGCTGCACTCTGCTGAACAAACTGTGTCCTGACATAACAAGATTTCTGCTGCTGACACCATCATTTTCTCCATTATTCCCAGAGAAATGAAGTTTTCATATTTGACAAATGCACCAGTACTGATATGTTTTATAGCCGATAACAGCCTTCACTGGTTAAGCAGGAAGGATGCCTTATCTGAGTTTAATTGGTTTCTTATAAGGCAATTCTTTCATTATCTGGACGTTTGAAAGGGTCTCTGAGGCAGCCATTTTGATCAGTATATGGTCTTGTCTGAGCTGCTGATGGGTAGCTTCAGTGAAATGTGAAGGCCTGTGTACTTTCAGCAGCTCTCTGTACCGGCCTTAAAAGAATGGTTTGTAAAAGTCCAAAAAACGGGCCCAGAGAGCGTGATAGTGTGTCCTTTTTCTTACCAGCAGTGCAAACCTCTAAATGGCCAAGTGACTTTTCCAAGCCTTTCAACTCTACCTATGTGTGCAGTTAAATCTGTTTATGAGTGTTGCAGTTTTGGCTGGAGCACTCTGAGGAAATTAATTCAAAAAACTTATCACAATAACTTAGAGCCTCTGAGTGGAAGCATCCACCTGGTGTCTATATAGCGCTCTGCATGTAGAGGTGCAAGCTGACCATGATGGAATTTAAATTTTATTTATGTTTTAATGAGACTTTTTTTTTTTAGTTTTGAGGCTTGAGGCGTTTCTTCATTTCTGTTAGTAATATAACCAATCGTAACCCTCCAGCTGGACTAATCAGTCACCAAAGGAACTGTTCAGGCATATCTCATAACAGAATTTTTTCCCTGCCTATTAAAAGGTTTGGTGCTCTCCAAAGAGCCACCAGTAACAGAAAAGCACACATACTTCAGGTAACCCTTTATAAGACATGCATTGAAACACTTTCTTCCCTCGTGTGTTAAGACTTCAGTTTAGTAATACTAAGTGGTTACAACTATTAATATCACTATATTATTGTTATTACTCCTTTGATTGGTGTAAGAGAATTTCTCAATTATGCAACATATGTCTTATTACTGCACATTACAAGTTGCTACCTTGTTACGAATTACACTCTTTAGAGTCCATACCGCATATTTACCTTACATATTTAAGGACCTAGCTAACCCCTCACAACAACAATGGTAGATAAATGTTTAAAAACAGAGCTGCCTTCATCCCGTGAAAGATTTCTCTTTCCTCAAGGACAGAAATGACAGTTGGGACTGGAAATTTTCTCAAATTCCTCTTAAAAAGTTTCATTTTTCAGGAATTAACATGGAATGACCCAGACACATGTCTCAAGCTTACAAGAGTAGTCATCAGTCAAAGGTCCACTATGAGTCAGGGAAAGTGTTGCGAAATGCAGATATTCTTAGGTTTTGAAATGCTGCTCTGACAGAAGTTCTGTCTAGTTAGTTTCAAGAATTATGATGTTAACAATCATCATTAGTTGCCTGGTGTGGGTTTTTTTTGTTGTTGTTGTTGTTGTTGTTGTTGTTTTTTTGAACTCGTCTCTGCTGCTTTTATCACCTCCAGGTGAACATGTTTGCACCCAATATTGACCAGATGCATGTGGTAGATCACCTGAAAGGTGCGCCTTCTCAGGAAAAGAGGAATGTGCTGGTGGAGAGCGCAAGGCTGGCCCGTGGAAACATCCAGGATCTGTCTAAGCTCAGCGTGAAAGAGCACGATGCTGTTATTTTCCCAGGTTTGTGTCTATATGTATTTCGCTGGCACAATCGAAGCCTACAGAAAAAAGATGTTGGGAATGTCTGAGTAAGGTCGAAACTGAAGTTTGTATTTCTGGCTTATGTACATCCAGACATTAATCTCACCTCTTCCTCATTTTTGGTGTTTTACAGGCGGCTTTGGAGCTGCGAAGAATCTCTGTACATGGGCAGTGCAGGGCAAGGACTGCTCTGTAAATGACGAGGTCAAGGCTGCTCTGCAGGCGTTCCACAGCGAAGGCAAACCCATCGGCCTCTGCTGCATCTCACCTGTGCTGGCTGCCAAAGTGATCCCCGGGTGCGAGGTCACCGTCGGCATCGAAAAGGACGACAAGTGAGAAATACAACATGGACTTCCTTGTTTGCATTCTAAGTCTGGACTTTTAAATGTTGCAGTTGTTGTGTGCAAACAGTTGTTTCCAGAGACTACCACGTGCTGGGCGTGGGCTTGTTTACAGACAGTCTGCCTGTCCTGTTGCACAATTTCTTCCTGTTTCCATGACAAATTAATTTGATTACAGTGTTAGATTTTAAAAAAAGGACTTAGGAGAGGATCTGTCTTTGTCAGAGTGGTGGCTCACTGACACTTGGACCAATTGATCGGTTGACAGATGTCAAAGCCAACAATCAGTTGAGATCATGATTTTGTTTACAGGCAAAATAATATTATAAAATTATTTTAAAAAATTTACAGAATAGAAGAAAAAATGTGGCTGATACCAGTAACCAATGCGTGTTTCAGTAGATATCTGATTTGGATGCTTGTTATTTTTCCACTTTGTGCTGGGTAAACAAAGGTCTTTCTTATAAAATATTGGCTGTTTTGAGTGATTTAGCTCTTCAACACACAGTATTTGACTGTGTCTACATGCCTAAATGTTGCTGTAATGTGATTGGCAGATTAGATATTAGATAGTTAACGAGTGAGACCCACTGGTGCACTGTGCAGGATGCTAAATATTCGATTGACAGGACAATCACTGGTGTGTTTGTGTAAATAGGAAGCAAAAACTGTTGGGTTCTTTCCATGTTAAGGTGGAAAGTCCCTTTGTAAGTGCAGTTTGCAGCCATAATTGATGCATCTCCAAAACTTATAAATAAAGCAAAAGCCCAAATGTTCCTAAGATGTTTGCAGAAATCGGCTTTGAGCAGCAAAACATTAAGTAGTGCCTCTCCTCCCCCACCTCTCAGGTATCCAGACACCGCTGACACTGCAGCGGCCATCAACCAGCTGGGCTGCAAGCACGTGAGCAAGGGCGTCGGCGAGAGCCACGTGGACGAAAAGAACAAGCTGGTCACCACCTGTGCCTTCATGTCCAACGCTCCGATCCACGAGATATTTGATGGAATCGGATCGATGGTGCAGGGCGTCCTGAAACTCGCCTGAGTGTAATCAGTAGAAGGTCAAAACAAGGAAAAGACTGGTGCCAGCTGTGCGGTAGATGTCTGCTGAGCTGGTTGCAGAATGGTGTCGAAGTGATTAAAAGCACTAAAAGATAATCTAGAGTAGCAGAACTGAGCTCCTTGTGAGCTGAATTTTTGAGTTTGCGTGTCAGTTTTACTGCTGCTGTCGTGGCTCCGCCCCACATCTGTCACATTTTAGAGAATCAGCTGCAGGTGAGGATAATGTTCTCAGAAACAAATAAATAAATAAACGAATACAAGGAAAAAGATTCAGTTTATTTCTGACCACAGAAGAGAAAAAAGTATGTACAACATATTTACACGGTTATTATTTAATTCGTACTTTCTTGAAAAGATTACAAAGCTTCATATAAAGATATGAGTGTGTAATTACAAAATCCTCATTCTGTCAAGGCGCTCTTGATTTCTTGTCATTCTCAGATATGAACCCAATATTGAGCAATCTGCCACCCTTTCAATGTTTCCTATAACATCAATGACCCGCTCCACTCCCTCTGTGCACAGCACAGACGAAGCATTCACACTGAACTTCTCCACCAGGTGCTTCAGAGTCAGCGGTTTCCTCCAGTGGCCGTAGAAAGTGTCACATCTGGCTGTGTAGCTCGGCCCCTGGTGCGTCGCTATCTCGACCTCGCAGTACATCTTGTCAAAACTGGGCAGGTTATCTTCTGGCGTCTCCAAGCTGACTTTGCCCAGGAGCTCCTTCATAGCGGATCGGCCGATTTGAGCGTCGCCGAAAGACGCCACGGTCACCTTGTTATCCAGCAGTGCGGTGCAGGCGTTGAACTGGAACGAGTGCCTGGCTTGGTGCTCTGTGGCAGGTAACGGGCAGTTAACGTACTTGGATGGAGGCACCCGAAGTGTGACATGCCGGATCTGGCTGAGGTCAAATTTGCCGACTGCGTTTTGGAGCTTTTCCCGGGCTGCCAGAGCTGCATCGACAACCCAGTGCATCCCGAGGTGAGTGGGGATGCGTTTGAATGCCACGTCCTGATCTTCCAGAATCCATTTATATGCTCTCACAGCAGAATCCGCCATAGCGGAGGGACTGTAGTCTTTGTAGTAAACACCAAGCCCTCTGTCCAAATCCAGTATGGCTGGATTTCCCTTCAGTCCTATCTGGGCCAGCCGAGCGGCCTCCAGGCCTCTCCGAGCAGCGTTTCCAATGTGGAGAGGTTTGGTCTGTGTGGCAGCGTTGGCTAAAGGCGCCCCGGCAGAGGAGGCTGCTATGGCAAGAGCATGAATGCACTGTTCAGGGGACAGACGGAGGAGCTTAGCCGAGGCTGCAGCGCTGCCCATCACTCCAACAACACTGGGAGGGTGGAATCTGAGAAGCAAAACAATAAGATTTACTCAAGCGTGACATAGTGAGGGTCAAGGTCAAGGTAACTTTATTTATACCCATAGGCAAGGTAAATTTGCTTTACAGAAAAAATAACAGCATTTGGCATCCCTTTAAAAACACATACCTAGTAAAGATATAAACCTCACTGTGGCACATATATAGTAATTTTAATATTTCGAATCAAAAAACAGTTCTTATTTAATTCAGTGACAGCAACAGGGACAAAGCTATTTTCATAACGCTTTGTTCTGCATCTCGGAAATAGAAACCTCCGTCCTGAGGGAAGAAGCTGAAATTCACCCCTTAGAGGATGGGAACCATTTTTAAGGATTGATAAAGCCATCCTCTGTACCTGCTTAGAGTACCGGGAGGCTAAACAAGACTGTGGCTCACCTATCAGACGACTGGACCATCTCACTATCTGATTTAGAGAGTTTTTCTCTGTGACAGAGGTCTGACCAAACCATGCCACCAAACAAAAGGATAAAACGGACTTAATAAAAGAACGATAAAACAAAGTTAAAATTTTTTGGTCAATGTGGAAATGAGCAAGTTTCCTAAGACAATAAAGGTGCTGGTGATTCTTTTTACAAACTGATTTGCAATTTTGATCAAAGTTCAGTTTTTCATTGATTATGGTCCCAAGATATTTATATGATCGTACTTGCTCTATTTTCTGACCTTTAATAAAAGTGACTCCGTGCCCATTTTGTTGTTTCCTAAAATCAATCACCATATCTTTTGTTTTAGATATGTTCAGCTGGAGATAAGACTCCTCACACCACTGAACAAAGTCATCAATGACTGGACCGTGGTTAGTTTCACCCTCTTTCAGTAAGCTGACAATAACAGAGTCATCTGCATATTTAATGATGGCCCTGTTTTCATATCTGCTCTGACACATGTTTGTATAGAGAATGAAAAATAAGGGAGATAAGACGCACCCTTGAGGATGTGATTAGTGATTCTGATTAACTGAAATCACTGCTTCATTAATCAAACAGTTCATATGTATTTTAATCATCAGTTTAGTCCTTTTTAAAGGAGGTTTTTGCGATTTCTCCTTATAAGGTATTTTCATGTGAGCACAAACCAGAACCCAGTCACCACATCCACCTCTAAAACCCAAAATGAAACCAAAACTGTTTTCTTGGCTTGACAGCACTAGGTACTGGTGAATCAAATGCTCTAGTCTTTCTAATCTAAATGAGCTGGAGAATAAATTTATTCCAGAGCTGAAAATATTTCCAAAATTGATACCTTTCAGGGATGTTGTAGGCTTCTTTGGAGAACCTCATCAGTCTGCCCTGAACTTCAATGCCAACATTGAAGGCTAGCAGGAGATCTAGACCAGAGGGCTGGCTGGGAAGTGTCTCTACCAGGGCCAGCAGTGCAGGTAGGACGGCGCCCGAGGGATGAGTCGCAGGGTGCCAAGTGTCGTCAAAGTCCATGGAGTGAACCTAATAGACAGTCAGGCAAAGACGTGATCAGGGATCGAAGCAGAACTGGATCATAATTCCTGTTTTCTGCAGATTTTTGCTTTTGTAGAAATCCAAACTTACAGCGATGCCATTAACAAATGCAGCGTAATGAGGAGGCAGGATTATATCTGATTGACCCCAAACGCTGCTCCTTTCCCGCGATGTGAACAACTGGAGGCACATTAATATGAGTATAAATGACATATCAAAAATAACTAGCAGCAGAAAGAAGATTATAATCACAAACCGGACTATTAAAGAAGTGCAAGACTTGACTGGATAATCAGTCATCAACATGTCATGGAAAACAACTTAATAATTTGTCAAGATTGCAATCAGGGCACAAATGAAGCGAGTTAGTTAGCAGGACCGATCATTTGTAAAGGAAATCCACCAATGAGCAGAAGAGTATTTTAATTTCAGCTGCACAAACAACCTCTGATGAGCCCATATAAAGATTTTTATGTGATCACTGACAATAGATACAGAGTACTCATGTATTACTAGTTACTGTGTAGAATTAAATGAGCATCTTCTACATCTACCCACATCATAAGCAAATATTTGTCAGCAGTTGTTTTCACAGTTATAGGGTAAACGCAGTTCACTGTACCTGACTGTACTTCAGAGCCTTATTGAAGACAGCTGTTCTGGTTCCTAATAGTCCGACACCGAGGGTGTCCAGCATCATCCTTTTGCTCCTGTTAATCACACCATCTGTCAGCTGTGAGGTGTTGAGGGCATGGATCCCAGCTCCAAAGCTCTCTGTGATACCCTGAAAAACATTACACGGGGCTAGCCAGTTCAAATCATGCAGACGTCTCCAGAGAAGGTGCAGCTTATTGTGGCTATAATCAAGTTAAGATGCTAAGCTATACTGCAGGTCACCAAAAGCCAAAAATACTTTCCAAAAGGTGCCTTTATTAAAGCTCATACAGCAACCAACAGTACCTTGCGAAGCATTGTTCAGTCTTGACAAGCTCTTCAAGTGACTAAACATCCAAGCATAGCTGACTTTTATACACATGTCTGAGGGCTGGACTGCCAAATTTCCAAAGTGGCTAAAAACCCACTAGGATGAGAAGTGGGAACTTTCGCAATGACTCAATGCTGTCTTTTCATTTATGCTGGTTGCCAGTGCACTGGGGAGTCTGCACAATCTGCACACAACACAATCTTGTGACAGCTGATTTTGAATTTGAAAACATATTAAATCTGTGTTTTAGTAGGCACACATGATTCAATCACACGACTTAAAATAAAATGTTGCCCCTAAAACTGTAATTTTCTTCTGTCCAATTCAGTCTTCTGCTCCTCTGGACACACACCCTTATGTACACTTTATAACTCACAATGTAAATAACTTGTGGAAGTGCACTGATCTACTGCTCAGACTCATCTTATCAGCCCTCAGATATATGCATTACATATACATAAACTCATGTTCAGTCCAAACATGCAATATGCTTATTCTTGTGTCCAATCTTACAATTCAATTCAATTTTATTTGTACAGTGCCAAATCACAACAACAGCCACCTCAAGGCGCTTTATAATGTAAGGTAGACCCTACAATAATACATACAGGGAAAAACCCAACAATTGTGGGTTATATATTTATAGATGCATGTGTGTGTGTGTGTGTATATATGCAGATATATACTGTATGTGAATATGTAGTTGTGGAAATGTGCCATCTTTCATAATGGTGCCCAGTAATGGAAATTCATTGATGTGCAAGGGGAAGTTTATAATGCAGAAATGAAATAGGTGAAAATCACGTGATAAAGAGTTTTTCATTTTCAGCCGCTGATTATTGAACCAAAAGCTGTGGCTTAAGTTTTATTGTTACCAGTCGCTCACAACTGCAAACCCCAAATCTCCATCTGGTCCAGTTTGCATATAAACGTGGGCTTATTAATGATTATCACTGATTGTTATTTGTTTTCTGGGTAAAATCTGATGGTAAACCAAAGTCTTTGAAGAAGTGAAAGTGAAACAATTTCATCCATTTTATGTAAAAATGAAGAAAACGTGGTTGTGTTTCTCTCTTTTCAAAAAGATTAGTTTACATGGAAGGGCTTAATTATGTAATTCCATAATGTGCTTCCTTTCCAGCTGCTCCTTTTGTATTATACAGATTAAGCTGATACACTATGTAACATTTTGCTCAGATTTGTGTAATTATGTCCAAAATAAAGCTGAATAAAACTTTCTACCTAACTATTTAAAAAAAAAAAAAAAAAGATACTGTGGTCTTAAAAACGGCAATAACATAAAAATCTATAAGAACAAGGCTTTGGTGGATCACTCTCCCTGAGACAGGAGGTCCACATGACTGTGACTCTAATGCTCCGTCCTTTTACAAAATGGTGCAACTTTGAAACTTCCTAAATGTCACCCACAACACACACTCAAGAAAATCACCACCAGCAATATCATAAAAAGAAGCAAAGCAAATATTGCACTGGATGATTATTAAGTGTGTTTCTGGCATATTTTTGCTTGTAAGTGACTTAATGAGAACTTTACTTTGTAGACAAAAAGTCAGTCATTTCATTACTATAGTTTAAGTTTAAGATTTGTAATAAGTTAGGGGTTATATTAATGTTTTATGCATCTATCTTGCATGCCACATTGTGCAATGTGACTGATTTCTTATGTATATGGCAAGACTTTTAGACACTACTTCCTCTATTGTAGCTTAAATGTTTTTTATAGTGTTTGCCCATGATTGATGTCTGGATTTGTGTTCACTGACTGCTCTGCCTTCATGTAATTCTTGGAACTGTGTAAACAGCCTGCCATGTCTGATTCTCCTAAGAGGTTGAAAATGAATGTGCCTTGTGTTGTTTTATGTCTGGCCCCCGAGACTGGCTCAGGTTTAGTATAACATGCTCCTGCATAACAATAAGCTGGTTTTCTGCCTAGATTACACTAGAATTAAAGCTATCACTCCTTCTGTTTGGTTTTTCTCATTTTCTCATTTTGTTTAGAAAGTATAGTTAGGTAGCACAGGTTTGAATTTATTCTTTTAAAAAGCAATAGTTTTACTCAATTAATAAATTATACCCATCAAAACCTTTTATCTGTGACTCAACCCTCCCCACCTGGATCATTCATGTTACGTTCTTCCCCCTTCGGCTTGGGCTGCTCAGGTCATAGCACCACTTTAGAACCACTTTGTGAAAGAATAAAGCATGAAGTGGGATAGTAGTAGACCTGCATTGAAGGAATATGATGCAGTGCTAAAAACACTGCTTAAGAACTGTTGTTTGAAAGGACTAATTACAGTAATTCTTTCATTCTTTAAATGGCTGTTCGAGAGCTCTCTCTGTGTGTGTGTGTTTGTAAGTTACTAATTAGCATTTAGAATTAGGTTAGGATGGTTAGACCTTAAAATGTAAAAAAAAAGTGATACAGTTTGTGTAATTTTGCTTCTGTACACCAACACAGTGGATTTAAAATCAGCATGTGATTACAGTGCAGACTTTCAGCTTAAATTCAAGTGGTGAAATAAAAGAACTGTATTAACTGTTTAGGAATTACAGCCATTTTTATACTTGGTTTCCCATTTTCAAAGGTTCAAAAGTGACTGGACATTTAAACATTAAACATTTTTCTTTTTTGTCCACAACAAACTAAGACGTGGTGCTGATTTCAAGTGTTGACCTTTTTTGGGTATCTTGGAATGCTTGGTGTGAGGTAAATACAACTGAAGGAGGCCATTGTTAGGCTGAAAAGTCAACCAATAACACAACAAAATAAGACAATTAAAAAAGGAAGTGAGCTCAGAAACGTGAAACAGCATGGAACACAACAGAAGACAAAGGATGTGGATGATCACAGAATTCTTTCCCTGGTTAACAAAAACACCTTCGAAACATTTGGCCAAGTCAAGAACACTCTTGTGGAGATAGGCTTGTAGATTTCATGTAGGGATCGACTGCAAAAAATGTTCATCCAAGTCTTAACAAAGTTCCTTACATGTAAAATTATGCTAGCTTGCCCAATTAATTTAGAGCCTCTGAAAATAAATAACTGTGTATAAAAATGGCCATAATTTCTAAACACTTAATGTAACACGTTTGTGAAACCTCTTGAATTAAAGCTGAAAGTGTACACTTCAATCACATCTTAATTGTTAGATTTAAAATCCACTGTGATGAGGTACAGTGACAAAACTCACTTACAAAATGTTATGGCCCTAACTGTAATTAATGTGTGAGCATGCGCTGAATGCTGGCTGCATTTCCATTAGAAATGCAATGGGTGTCACTATTTCCATATTTTCCAAACATCTTTTTAAGGGAATAACTTGGACCAGTTTCATAGTCTCTGGTTTGTGTGTGATCCTAATGGATTTGCATTCATTTGGAGAGAAAAAAAACACCCACACATGCTGTAATTTTATCACATCGGTATTTGCGCTACAAGGTCAGGAGGAAGGTGACGTTTCTGGTGGATACATAGATTCTCTCTCTCTGTGGATGAGGAGGGAGAGCAGCATTGGCACTCTTCACAGTCATTCAATAGTTAAATGTTAATTCAGCAGTCACCTCCCGGTACGCACGCACGCAGTAAGCCCAAGCTTCATAAACGAGCTCCTGCCGCTGTGGTGTCTCAGTGTTTCCACTGATTCCACATCAGTGAAGCAGCTCAGAGAAGATGGCACTGGCAGACACCGAGCGCGGAGTGTCCAGCTGCGGGGATTCGGGCGCCCAGTTTTCCGAGATCATCGAGCTGAATGTCGGCGGACAGGTTTATGTCACCAGACACAAAACTCTGATCGCTGTCCCAGACTCACTCTTGTGGAACATGTTCAGCAAGAAGTCACCCAAGGAGTTGGCGAGAGACAGCAAAGGGCGCTTCTTCTTGGACAGGGATGGGTTCTTGTTCCGCTACATCCTCGACTATCTCCGAGACCTCAACTTGGTCCTCCCGGACTACTTCCCCGAGAAAAGTCGGCTGCAGAGAGAGGCTGACTTTTTCCAGCTTCGGGACCTCGCAAAACGCCTCAATCCCCGGGTGAGTAAAGAGAATTCAATCAGTGAGGAGATCAGCCAGAGCGACACAGAAGAGGGCGGGCAGCAGTGCGGCTCCTCCGGCGGTTTGGAGACTTTACGCACCATGTCTGTCAGCGGAGCCATGCGCTCCCCGTCTCTGGACTCTAGAAAGTCCGGCTACATCACGATAGGATACCGCGGCTCGTACACTATTGGCAGAGACATCCAAACCGATGCCAAGTTCAGGAGAGTGGCGCGCATCACAGTTTGCGGTAAGACCTCTCTGGCCAAAGAAGTGTTTGGGGACACGCTGAATGAGAGCAGAGACCCGGACAGGCCCCCTGAGAGATACACATCCCGGTACTATCTCAAGTATAATTTTCTAGAGCAGGCATTTGACAAGCTGACAGAAGCGGGATTCCACATGGTGGCCTGCAGCTCCACAGGCACTTGTGCCTACACCAGCAACGATCCCAATGAGGACAAAATTTGGACAAGCTACACTGAATACGTTTTCTGTCGGGAATAACCAACACCATTCGCGCCACGTCCGTGTAAATATACCTACATTTCACACCACAGAGGAATGTCTTCGAAGAGTAGTGCAGTTTCTGTGCTGATTGGTGACTTTTGTTAAGGAGTGACTGTACCATATTGCTCCATTATTGCCAGAAATTAGACACAAAATGCTCCCTCACCCCCCAAAAAATTATTTAACACACAAGATTTTGTTAGGTTTGGCTTGAAAAGATGAAGCTGTTCTGAGGTTCAAAGTGAGCAAAACTCAAAGCACTGCAAACATTATCTCCATCTCATAGAACTGCATGTCAATGTTTCAGTCATGTCTGACTCAGTGCTGTGTGAATTGAGTGGCATCCAGGAACAGACCAGCAGCAATTATTATTCAGTGTCATTGTGACTTCTAGGCTTGCTCGAGCACTTGTTTGGCCAAGTTTTGTATTATCTAATAGGCTCTTATAGCAGTTCTATCACTGACACGATTGTACTTGTATGTGAAGTGTTGGTAGAGTTGTATTTGTTATAAACTTACTCATTACAAATAAAGTCTTCTAACTCTGTTATTCTCAGCCATTTGCCAGCCATCCTACCTTCCTTTTAATGTCTGCACAAAGAGTACACAACAACAAAAATACTGACATTCACCTCTCTCCAACCTTTTAAACCATCCTCAGTGGGGGAATCAAAGAGTCAGCCTCAAAGAGAGATGCCCTACACAGAAATCTCACCCCGTCGTGGCAGTGGAGCCGCCAGCTCGACAAAACTTGTCACACAGTTTTAACCCAGAAGCGACGTGTTACAGAGTAGTGTCTCTGCTTGTCATTGCACTCACGCATGACTTACAGAATCCTGACTCTGAACTTTCCTTGCCTCCCACTTATTGTATCACATTTGCAAACTGCCCTTATAAGGTGCTATGTGCTTCCCAGTAACCTTTGCCCTGTTATACCCCCCCCCCAAAAAAAAGCTCCACATCTGAAGAGACAAGCCTTTAAATATTGCAGGAGCATCCTTTTTTCCCTCCTACCTATCCATTTTGGTACACAATTTCATCAGCATGCAGCGTGGATGCAAATAGTGCAGCTGTGCACACATGATGTCATTATCATTTCAAGTGTAAATAATGAAAGGGTCCAGCTGCACACAAATAGGAGGGTTCAGTCCGCCAGGGACTGTGGATGAATGGAGATTCGATTGGTGTACCTCGGCTGTGGGGGACGGATTTTTTCTTTTGACTGGCCAGCGTACAGCCAGTCCTGGATTATACGTTTCATTCAAAACAGACATGTAAAAAAAGTCCCCACATTCAAGGCCACGGGTGGGATTATAGGAAATCAGGGGCTTACAGAGTCACAGTCTCTGTAGGGGTCCGGGACATCCACCCAAAGGGAACATCTTTGCTAAATGCATCACTCTGCTTCAATTTGGTTCAAGAATGTTGGAGAAAGGTTCTTTTCATAAGGATGACAATTTAGACATTACTGTTTGTATATAAATGGTTCATAATAAATGCACTCTAAAAGATAATTATGCAGACAGGCTTTTCCATTTATGTAACTTTAACTTTACATTAATGTAACTTTTCCTGTGTGACATTTAGATGTGTCACACCAGGAAAGGAACAGGAGACAAAAACAAAGATGGCTCATGCAGGCTTTCTCTTGTGGCTCGCTGAGATACTGAACCAAGAGGTCATTTTTGTTATTAGCAATACCCCAACCTTTCCTACCGTAAGATATCTTGAGCACTTTAACTATAGCTTTACCTTTGCATGCACACCGGCTCACAGCTAAACTGGAAATGTTTGCGAATAAGCATGTGCATCCACCCCCAGAGTCTAAAAATACACTCCAGATATAACAAAGTGACACCGTCTTAAATTCAGACCTGGCAAGTTAATCTGAAAAGAACAAATTTATTAAAAGAGAAGAAAAGATGGTGATATTATCAGAGCTCATAAGCAATGTTTATAGTGATGTTTGTTTGGCTGATACCAGTTTAGCTGCCCAATATTTTATGTCTCCTAAGTTAAGCCTGAGAGCCAAGTGATAGATACTTTACTTTGAACCATTTGTTATGAGTTATTCAACAAAGAAATCAGTGTAAATTAGGGAGAAATGATGCTGCACTCACACAGAGGACAAAGACATTAGGGAAAAATCAAGTCTCTCTTCCTAGGCTCAGTTAAGAAAAGAAAAAAGAAAGGAAAAATATGTGTGTGTTTGGGTGTGTGGAGCCAGAATGGAAACCGAGTCAGAAAAGAGCCATTAGCCCAGTGGAGACTAGTGAAGAAATACTTCCATTTCAATTAATATTGTACAATCCTGTTCAGAAGGATAACTTTTCACATGTTATCACCCTTGAGAGGAAATTATGCCAGACCAGGAGTTTTTGAGGAGGAGTGTCCTACAGAACACGATAGCAGCTTTGCAACCCAGGCTCATTTTTAAGCATAACGCTATCCATACTGCATGAAATCCAATCATATCTGTTGATTATTTACAGCTGGATGAACAGACGAGGGACGAGGCAGCCCAAATGAATGTGTGACATACCACAGCAATAACAGCTGCAGTTACTGGGACAAATTTTCACACACAATGTTATATAACTTACTACTGTGACTAAGATATTGTTACACAGCTGCATAAATGTAAATTATTTGGCAAAAAAAGAATAATTTTTGTTTAAAATGATTTAGTTCCGTCCTGGAATACAAAGAAGTCTTGGAAATCTAGGATGAAATGGTCAGGGCACACGAAAGATGTCTCATAAGATATGACCGCATTATCTGATACTAGTTATAAACATTCATGTGCTTTGAATTTGAATAAAGCTCACGCGGACCCTCGCATGGGTGAGTTCTGAGTAATAAACAAATCTGGGAAAAGAGGTCAAGAGCTTATATTGAATTTCTTTCATGTTGTTTTTTCTCATTTTTTCTGGGAAGTTGAAACGCACCACACGCTAATAACTGCTCTGACGTTGGGAAACACCCTGGATCAGTCAGCCATTCGTCATGGAGCTCTGCAAAAAACAATTCACACCCACATTTACACACGGTGCAGCGCGAGCAATTTAGAGACTCCACAACACTTGCATGCCCATGGGCCGTGGGTGGAAACCCACTCGGACATGTGCGGCAAAACGATGTTATTCACCGCTACGCCAATCATTCAAGCTGTTGCAGCACGTGCACACCCAGCCCCACTCTGCACTTTGATACATTTTAGACAGAGAGCATAATTTTGCAATTCCCGAGAGAGGGCTCTTAGCTGCAATTTGAATTAAATGATAAGAAATCACAAAAGAGAGTCTTTTAGGACAGTTTTCACTAGTCTCCACTGTAATACAATACCCTATGCTGCTTTAGATTCTGGTAATGCTTCATTCAGGCTAGGGACAAAGTCATTTTAGTATTTTGTTACAAATTTTTAAAGGGTCATTATTAAACACAGAAGTCAGAAATCTAAAAGCGTTGCTCTGACTGTACTTTTCTTATTAACTCTAAATACAAGAGAGAAAAGTGAAGAAACAACAGAACGGGATGAAGACAATGATTCTACTTGGTGCAGCACTGGGTCAATAAATAAAGGCATGATGAGAACAATATGCAGTACTGTATGATGTATGAGATGGTAAACATGAATGACAGATACTGAGGAGGACACGTCCCATGAATGCGCTACCTTTCAGCGATGTCAAAATGAAATAAATGGGCCTTCAGATTTTTCCCTGTGAGTGATGAGTGGATAACACAGAACGAAGAAGGAAGGTCAGAGATTGAGTCAGGTGGCAGGTCAGCCACAGAGATATATGACTTTGGATTGTCAGAGATTATTAGTGCTCTTTCCTTTCTAACACACTTTCTTGTTATATTTGCTGTTCTCTCTCCGTTCAGCTTCCTGATATGAACCTCAGCAGATTGCTTGCATCTCCCCGGGACGCCTCCTCAATCGCTTTAGATCAAAGTCGGTTTCATTAGCACATCACAAACCTAACTCTGGACAACGGGCTTCATTATTCTAATTCAGCAAAACACTTTAAACTTGACTTCACAACAGGGGGATACGGATCCGTCGGGGCTCACAGGAGGATAGCGCTCCCTGCTATGCGAAATCATAACAGTGTAGCGTTTCACAAGGCTTTTGGAGAACTCAAGAGAAAGGGAAAAATCCACAAGTGAGTGCAGAAATAAATGATTAATTAAAAGCACTAGCAGCTTTCTTTTTTAACCAGAGCTTCTGAAGTCCACTTAAATGCTGCAGTGCTTTTTTTCTGCAGTGAAAGAAGAAGCTTTTTTCTTCCCATAAAAATGAAACATTTAATTTTGTTCAGTGTCTTTTCTACTGAGCACAAACAGAAAATAGAGGCATTCAAAATGAGTAACAAAATAGAAATCTAAATGCATGCGTCTACTTGTTTACATAGACACTCACAGTCAAGGCTCTTTTCTTCCTTGCAATTTTGTATTCATTGGACAGCTGAGGCTGACAGGAAATGAGGAGAGGGAGAGGAGATACGAGTCCTAACAAAGGTCCTTGGTTAAATTTGACAGGGAAGATTGTAGTTATCTGACTGGCACCTCAAACACCTGGTCACCATGCCCTGCAAATACAGTAATGGATACATAAAAGTCAGTCCAACCTTATTCAGTTAATGACTGAAGAAAGAAAAAGAATGCTCGGTAGGAATGATCAAACTTTAATCTACCTTTTAGTCACAGAATATTATGTGATTGGGCATGAATTATTTTGCTCATTTGGTTTAATTACATTACACTGGCCTAATTCAATTACCATTTGGAGCCACTTGTTTGATGGCAAATTAATTGAATCTGCAATTATTTGAATAAATAACAGGTCAGATGATTTGTGATGGTAAAGGTCGTACTAGGATCAGTTCAACATAAGGCGACCAACATCAACTGACAAGTACAGCTTCTTCCAAAAAACTGCAAGCAGAGTGCTTTAAAATATTTGGGCTTTATGAAACACAAAAAAATGTCATTCTCTGGATGAAAGCACATGTTGCTCAAAGCTCTGTGTGTATTGTACAGTACTAAAGGTGCCTTCAAAGCAGTACAACTTTGGAGGGGGTTGAACAACACAACAACACAGGCCGTCTCGTCATCCACCGGTTGGCTGTGTGGAGTTTGGATGTTCTCTGTGGGATTTTGTGGGTTCTCTCAGTGTACTCCGGCCTTCTCCCACTCTCTAAAGACATGCATGTGCTTGGTTAGCTGGCAATTCCAAATTTCCTTTGGTGTGAATGTGAGCATGAATGGTTATCTGTTGCTCTTTGCCAGCCCTATGACAGACTGTTGACCTGTTCAGTGTGTATCACAAGGCTCCAGCCCCCTATAACAACCCCGAATGGCATAAGTGGAAGAAAGTGGATGGATAGATGATTGGATATTGTTGTTTTTACCATTTTACAATAAATCTGACTTCAAATGATTTGGTCCTCATAGCGTGGAGCTTTTATTTACATTTTAAACAGCATCTCAGGGGAGGTATTGTGAAGAAAACATCACACCCTGTGGATTTTAAATGGGAAAAGGGGCCCT